ACAGTGACACCCCACCATCCCCCAGCCCAGGCCGAGGACACGGCGCCTGGCACAGGCAGCCAGTGGGATTTAAACGCTGGAATCACCCAAGAGATGCGAACAGCAGCCTCATAAGCACCATTTCTATTCTCTCCTAAGCCGGCCGTTATTTTTGCCATCTAAACCAACATTTCAATCTCTGCACCTTCCCTTTGATTGTTTTAGGGAATGGTTCTCCAAGCAAGGTTGCTTTTAAAGCAAGGATATGGTTAAATAAAGTAAGACCCTGGATGAACTCATATGTTATTCACTGTCATCTTCTAAGGGTGAAGGACCGGGACACGTGCCGGCAGGCAGGGCAAGAACAGAAGTGAGCACGTGTAGCTCGGTGAGCCCGCCAGCATCCCACCAGACTTCTGCTGAAGCTGTGCCAGACTGAACTACGCTTGCACTTTATTGACTCTTCTTGGAAAACAGGAAATGTATTGAGGTATCTTTATATTCTCTTTAAGATACACTAACAAGAAACTAGGGTTATAGGGTTATAGGTTGGACTTGATGACCCCAGGGGTCTTTTCCAACCTGAATGTCTCTGTGATTCTATGAAAGACTTAGCAACTGTTTATCCTTCTAGGAAAAAAAAAAAAAAAGCATTTCAGAGAATTCTAAGAAATGCTTATTTCTTCTTTAAAAGAAACAACCAACACAAATCGTTTCCAATTACCTGGACCCATAAACATCTCTCACCCTATTTGAAGAATTCTTCATGCACTCGTTCCTGAGCTGACTTTTCCAACTCTACCCACACCGCAGTTAACGATTAATGCCGAGAGCTTTTCCGCCTGGAGCCGCTCCGTTATGAAGGGGGTGTTGCCCGGGCGAGCTGCACGCAAACCGTCTGCTGTGAACGAACCGTGTCGCCTCCCGCCAGGCAGCAGTGACACATTTGGTGTGCGTTTGCCGTGAGATGTGAAACCCGGGCCCCTGGCAAAGCCGGGGCTGCGAGGAGCAGCTCATGGAGGGGTTTGTGCTTCCCTCCCGCCGTGGCTCTGGGGTTTCCCCCGTGGCTTGGCCACCAAACTCAGCACGTTGGCACAGCTCCGCACGGTGATGAGCCCTATAAGCCTGCATTTCACACATTTAAAAATCTTGCAGATGCCTGGCACTGCTTTTGATAAAAGTCGTCTTTTTGCTTTGATGCTGAAGCAGCGCAGGTTTTGCTGCTGTCCCGCCTGCGCTGGGGGGTCCCGGCCCCCCCAGGGACACTGCACCTGCCCCACTCTGGCTCTGCAGGAGGAACTGGGCAATACGAGCCTGATTCTTACACAGAAAACCTGGTAACTATTACCCGGCTTCATCGAAGTGCAATTTAGACTCCTTTTAAAAGAGCCACCTGGCTCCTTGCTCAGACATCACCCATAGATCTATTCTTTTGATATGGAAAATATGCAACAACTGCCAAGATTATTTTTTCCTGCTCTGATTATAACGTCAAGGGGAAGGCTAGATTGCGCGGCAGCCTTTGCTGTGCCGCTGCACCCCGCAGTGCCCAGCCATGGGAGAAGAGGGGGAATGTCCCCAGGGAGGTCAGGGGCTGCCACCCCCCCGCCCCACTCCCCAGCGCTGCTGCTGTTGCAAAGGGCACTCGGAGCGGTGCCGGCGGGATGCAAACACGGCGGATGCTCTCGGGCATCTGCACCGACGCAGAACTCACCAGGACAAGAGGGAGGTGAGATGATCCGGTGTGGTGGGGTCCGGGCTGACAGGGGGAGACGTGACAAAGGCAGCAGCTTTGGCCCAGTTTTTACTCCAGTAGTGCGAGCCGTCGGTGCCCAGGCTGGCGGTGATGGGCTCCCCGTACACCACCGTGCCTGCGGAACCGTCGGTTACCGAGAGCCAGCGTGCTGCGGATCCTCGCGCCGCGTGGACAAACACCGCAGCCAACAAGACAGCTTCACTTATCTTCAGTGTTCCCCGAATTTCAGCTTTTTAAATTAATGCTAATCCCTCAGATTATCTCACGCGTCTGGGAAACGCTGACGGAACAACTCCTGAACCCATCTGTTTTCTCCTGAGGCCAAACTTACGTTCATACCTACAAACCATTGCGCCTTCCTCTAAATCAGAGCAGTGTCTGGCCGTCGCCTGCCTGGGGACCCCTGGCAGAGCCCCCTGCCCTGCTCACCCAGGACTACTTCCAGCTCTTCCCATGATACCTCCAGTGCAAAACTGAAGCTTGCTCCAGTTCTGGTTTTTATTTAGTTCATGACAAATGAGTGCAAGGGAATTATTTTCTTTTTATCAGCTGCATCTACTGAGATGCAGTTGTCAAATTTTCAAGCACATCTCCTCAAATCTTCCTAGCTCAGAGCAATTAGCTCTGGCACAGTCTGTGAAGAAAAGCCAATGCTGTTTTAGCACCCTTAAAATGTGAGAGAACTTGGTGATAACGAGTTCTTTAACTCTGCAGCTAGAATGATACTCCTGAACATGTTTAAATAGGCTCAATTAACACACAAATATGAAATAGTGCCCTACCTTTCCTCTTGGCTTGGGCCAAGACATCTGCCGCGCCTCTGCTCATTATTTTGGTGACGTACAAGGGGCAGTTGGCTTGCTTCGCGATGGTAATCGCGCGGTACACCGCCTCCGCCTCCACCTGCGGACACCAGGACTCAGGCAGAAATGATCTCAGGGAACCCGAGGCTGTTCCCACCCCGGGGAGTTGTGCCGAGGGGCTGCAGACCTCACCTCCTCAGGGCGGCTGAGGACGTGCCCCTCCGGCCCCGTAATCCCGAGTTCCAGCAGCCTCTTCTGCTCCTGCGTGGAGGAAGACAAATGGAAGAATGGTCAGTGACATGACCAGCCTGCCCGAGGCTGTGGGACACAAAACTCCTTACGAAGAAGCACCCGAACTGGGTGGAGATGCACGAACAGGACCAGGCGACGCCATCTCCACCTGCGACACTCCACAAACTGCTGCGGCCGCTTCCCAGGAGCCCCATCTCCTGCCGTGGGCAGCAGCTGTGTCCCCACAGCACCTCTGCACCTTCCCACCCTTCAGACTCTGGAGGATGTGGGATTTTCAGCCCGTCACCACTTACATAAAGACATGCTCCTGAAGATATTGAACTGCCTGGGATCAAACTGTGTTTCAGAGCCAGCTGAAGAAAAGGTTTCTGAGATAAAATCCCAGGGCGGTGGGAATTAGCCTTTATCCTGGTTGTTGAAATAAGCCCATTTGAAGGATTAGATCCTGCTTTCATTTTAAACTCTACTCCCACACCAGATTGAACACTTGTGTGACCATAGGCGAGAAGGAACTGCAAGTCTAATTCTACCTTGCATCATTGCATTGCAGCACGTATCTATGATTTTCTTTTCTAAACGTGAAAAGGAAAAAATAACAATGAGCCAAGACTGCAACACCAGGGAAGCTCCTGAGTGCCGTTTGTGGAGATGAGCGCTGCCAAGTGCAATGCACATTGTGATGCAAACCTCCTCATTCCCTCAAGTACTCAAGACTTCCGAACAAGACGATAATGAGACAAAGCACCACTTAAGGCAGCCAGTCTTCCAGACGCCTCAAAATGTTGGGAACCTCTGCTAAAGTCAGCACTTTGCCTTAAACACAGGCACCTCCAGCCAACCTGTCCTGGACGCGAGCATAACCACCGTACCTCATCGATGATGTCTCCGTTCTCAGCGTGCACTTGCGCGATGGCCCCCAGGTCACGGATAATGCAGAATATTTCGTACATCTGCCAAGAGACAGAGGGTTGCCCAACGTCCCACATGGCAGAGCTGGTGCTCAGACCTCCGCTGGGGCCAGCTGAGCGCGTTACCTGGGCATCGCTGCACTGCAGCTTGTCCTTGTAGGCCATGAAAACCAGGAAGGAGTTCACACCTTGAGAAAAGGAAAGGACATATGTGCTAATAAGCAGGAAGGCTGTGCCACAGAGGGTCAGAGCAACAGCAACATGAGGCTAAGGGCTGCGGTGGGGAATGTCCCCACAAGAGCTGAACCTCAAAGGCTGGGAGCCATGAGAGACAGCACCCCCCCACCTCTGGATGGACCTGAACCTCACCAAGAACACCCCACAGCCCCTTCCTGATTTTGGGTGCTCTCCACAACTTGCTCCAAAACGCACAGAATCAAAAGCTGAGTTTTCCCTTCAGAGTGGTTTTGACCTCTGGTTTATCCCCAACCTCTTTCTGATAACTTTCTTGGCATCTGTGCAGCCCTGCTAAGGCTAACTGACAGCAGAAGATGTATCTGTGCTAGTAGAGCACTGTTATTGAGCGTGCTCCTATTCAGCCAGAGAAACAGAGGGGTAGCACTTCGCACACAGCACTGCACGCAGCCCTGATTTATGTCATTTCTATTTAACAAAAAGGATCATTCATGAAACGCTGAGTCAAAGTCCAGGCACCGCTACTGTATTTTATATGGACAGAGGCAACAGCTAATCCCAAACTACGATCAAATTGCAAACAAACTGTACTTCATATGAAAAATACCCGGTCTAAGCTTAGAATAGCTGCATTACTTCAGCCACTCGCATTTTAATAGGAAATTCACTGCAAATTCCTATGTTAATTGACCAATTAAGCCTTTGCTTGCAAGACTGCAAATTACACTGAAGTCATTTAGCTCTACATTAGCATATGTGAAAGCAAAATGTAGTCCCAAAACATGTTAATAAATATTAATGAAATGCATGAATTCCTGCCCCATGGCCGCTCTCCAGCAAGCCTCATCCAGCGGATACTTCACACCTGGAATCCTGTGTCCACTTCGGGGCTCCCCAGTTCAGGAGAGACAGGGACCTACTGGAGAGAGTCCAAGGGAGAGCTACGAGGGGGATCAAGGGACTGAACATCTCTGCTGGGAAGAGAGACTGAGAGACCTGGGGCTGTTCAGCCTGGAAAGGAGACGGCTGAGAGGGGACCTTATGAACGTAGAGAAATATCTGAGGAAGGGGACAATCTCTTCTCAGCTGTGCCCAGCAACAGAACGAGGAATGATGGGTGTAAGGTAGAACATGGGAAGTTCCACCTCAACATGAGGAGAAATTTCTTCCCTGTGAGGGTGCCGGAGCCCTGGCCCAGGCTGCCCAGAGAGGGTGTGGAGTCTCCTTGGGTCACGCTCCCTTCATCATCCTCGGGGCCCTCCCCTGGAGGCCAACGGCGGGAGGATGATGAAGGGACTTGAACATCTCTGCTCAACAGGAGGAGGAGGGAGTCTCCTGCTCTGGAGACTTTCCAACCCACCTGGACGGTTCCTGTGGGGCTGCCCTGGGTGACCCTGCTCGGGCAGGGGGTGGCACTGGGTGATCTCCAGAGCTCCCTTCCAATCCCAACATTCTGTGATTCTGTGTAGGAATTACGGGCAGGAACGAAATCTCTATGGAAAGCCTAAAGCTTAGTTTTACTCCGTAATCCCCGTTTTGTTTCGCTCCAACACTTTTCTGTGTCTTGGGCAGCCTGAACGCCGGTGCCCGGCATTGCTCCCTTGGTGCCTACCCTTGTCCTTCACCAGAGCCTCCAGCTCCTCCTTCAGGCTCTCGTGCCAGCGCGGGATGTCCACGTGCAGCGAGTAGTCACAGCAGGCTTGGCCGTCGGCGGCGCCGCGCCACTGCTCGTAGGCGGCCAGGAGACTGGTTCCAGTGTCCGCGCAGACGTGGTCAACTGGGGAGACACTGCACAGCGTTAGCGCGCGCCATGGATGGGGCGAGGGAGGGACAGGGGGAGTGCAGTGGCCGTCACCGCTCCTGCACAGGGCTCTGCTGCTGTGAAACGAGACGCTTCAATACTGATTTGGAGGGCATTAAGAAGAGTGTGGCCAGTAGGTCAAGGCAGGTCATCTCCCCTCCCTGTCCTGCGCTGGTGAGGCCTCCCCTGGAATAGTGTGTCCAGTTCTGGGCTCCCCAGTTCAAGAGAGAGACAGGGAACTGCGGGAGAGAGTCCAGTGGAGGGCAACCAAGATGACCAGGGGACTGGAGCATCTCTCTTAGAAGGCTGAGAGAGCCTCTTGGACTGTTTAGCCTGGAGAAGGCTGAGAGGAGACCTTATCAATGTCTATAAATATCTAAAGGGTAGGTGCAGGGAGGATAGAGCTGGACTCTTTTCAGCAGTGCCCAGTGACAGGACAAGAGGCCGTGGGCACAAACTGGAACACGGAGAGTTTCACTTATACAAGGAAAAACTTCTGTGCGGGTGCCGGAGTCCTGGCCCAGGCTGCTCAGAGACGGTGTGGAGTCTCCTGCTCTGGAGACTTTCAAACCCCACCTGCCTTGTGTGACCCTGCTTTAGCGGGGAAGGGGTTGGATGAGTTGATCTCTAGAGGGACCAGTGCAGAGCTAGGCCAGCACTTGTCAAGACTGGTCCTTCAGTCCCACACCACGGTGGGCATTGGGACCAGGACAAGAACAAAAGAGAAATCAAAACTGTTGAACACAAAACCAGAACCCATGCTCACAGAGCCAAAAAATTGAGAAAAAACAACTTGCAGAGCTATGAAAAACCTATCAAAAGGCGTTTGAAACTTTCTTCTATTTTACTTCCTTAGGAGGTGAAGCAGGAGCAGCTCTATATTTTTCGTATATGTGTATAGCAAAAGAAGGAGGTTCTGGAATGTACATAATGCATTTTCATTAGCTTTGCAATGCTTTGTTTTCCACAGCAAAAATTAACATTTCTCTGCTTTGAGAGCAAATAATCTCTGCAACAATAAAAGACCCAATATGTTTTGCTAAATGACGTTCTGCAGAGAAGGACTTGGGGGTGCTGGTTGATGAGATACTCAGTGTGAGCCAGCACTGTGTGCTCACAGCCCAAAAAGCCCATCGCACCCTGGGCTGCATCAAAAGCAGCCGTGGCCAGCAGGGTGAGCAAGGGGATTTTCCCCGCTCTGCTCTCTCTGGTGAGACCCCACTCAGAGCTCTGTCTCCAGCTCTGGGGCCCAAAAATATGGACCTGTTGGAGCGGATCCAGAGGAGGCCACAGAGATGCTAAGGGGCTGGAGCAGCTCCCTGTGAGGACAGGCTGAGGGAGCTGGGGCTGTTCAGCCTGGAGAGGAGAAGGCTCCTAAAGGGGAGACCTTAGAGCGACTTCCCAGTGCCTGAAGGGGCTGCATGGAAGAAAGGGTGGGACTTTTTACAAGGGTGGGCAGTGACAGGACAAGGGACAACAGCTTTAAACTGGACAGGGCAGATTTAGATTAGACATTAGGAAGAAATTATCTAGAATCAGAGCGGTGAGACCCTGGCCCAGGTTGCCCAGAGCAGCTGTGGCAGATCCTCCCTGGCAGAGCCCAAGGCCAGGTTGGACGGGGCTTGGAGCCACCTGGGCGGGTGGGAGGGAGGTGGAGCGAGATGAATTTTAACTGCCTTTCCAAACCCAAACCGCTCCAGGATTCTGTGATACGTAGAAGTCTGTCTGAATGCTACTCCATCTTACTGATCATCGTGGTGCCTCCTGCCAGGGCTGCCTTTGTGCCTTGGTAGAAGTCATCGGCCGAGGTCATCCCCATGACAGGCATCTGCAGTCTGGTGTGGACATCTATCCCTCCTGGCATGACGAGCTGGTTGTAGGCATCGATGATCCTTACATCACTGGGAACAATCAGGTTTTCTCCAATTTGTCTGAAGACGATATCAAGATCTCCTGTTAACTGGGAAGAACCTTCAAGTGAAGATGCAAACCCAACTCCCAAGTCCTGCTGGTGGCTCACAGGCCTGTCCTGCCCAGGCCCCCTCCTCACCCCTGGGGCCTGTACCCCCCCCAGCACTCGTCAGCAGCATTGGGACACACAGGTCACCCCCTAGGGACCCCACTGAGGAAAGAGGTCTCCAGGTCAGACTCCGTAGGTTGCTCCTGACGTGCTCCTTTGCAGCACTGAGTTCGGCTCCTCACCCATCTCCTGCACAACCTACAGTGGAGCACGACCCGTCAGCACCTCAGACGTCCTTCTGGCTGCAAGAGTGCACCCATGTAGTTCTTCTCTGACACTACCCTAAAAAGCTCTTCTTGTTTTTCAAAAAGGGAACATATTTCCAACAGAAAAATGAATCTTGTTCAAATCCCATGGCACTGTATCATACGTAAAAAAATTACATTAGCAAATATAAATTTTTAACTTACTTTATTAGGCCGTCTTCCACATAAACATCTGCATAAAATGACTGATCATCGTTGACAATTTTTCCTCCTTTGATTAGAAGTTGCTCACTCTAAAGGAAAAAATTGACGCTTTTTAAAAGATTACTTTATTTAAATGCCACATTACTCATTCCGAGTTTTCTTTAAGTCTCGGACTTAAACTTTTTGCCCTTCTATCACATAGGTTTAGTGACCATCCAAACCAGCCTCCTCCACCTGCTGCAGTTACAGAGACACTTAATTGCATCTCATTAGCCTGGTAATTTATCGACATTTGTTAGTTTTCACAGTCTTGTCAGACGCAGATAATGCCTCAAGGACTTTCTTCACTTCAAAGCAAGACACGAGTTGTCGGATTTGCAGCGTCTAACCAGCAAAATCAGACAGCAGCTGCATTTATGTAAACGTGGAACTGCAGCCTCATTCTAGAGGATTCTTTTCCTGATGTCTGGTGTCGTTAGAAAAATTATTCCCAAGGCTGAAATGGGCAACACAAAGAGGACGTTGGCCTTAGCACAAGAACAACAGAAGGATGCAGGAGCACGTGGAGCTGACTTATAACACAGCAACGTGTGCTGAGCGGAACAGCCTGGAAACATTCCGGGGTTTTCTTTTAAAGAGCATCGCCGGCGTGAAAAAAACTACTGAAGCATTGCATTGTGTTTTTAAAAGTACCGAGGCTTTTACTGCACCTTCATTGTTCTCCCTGGTGCCTGAGTGCCGGCTGCCCCCCGGGAGAGCCCGACGGCCCCGCCCCCTGCAGGGCCCTTCCTCACCCCGT